TGTGAAAGGGAAGGAGAGTGCTTAAAGGATAAAACATTATGTATAGTGTGTAAGATAGAGAGCATATTACTGAATTTCTGTACATCATTGAACAGAAGGATTTGCACGTTCAATATTTCATTGTCTAGTCACTTTTTATGCTTTGATTTTGTAACTTTTAACAAGTATTTTTAAGATGACAATATGTAATGTATCAACTAGTGATTTTATGATGTTAATTTTTTTGAAGTCTGTATTTTCCTACTTTTTCCCCTTTCTGTTTTTCTATTTCTTTAATTTTCATTTCTTTCTTTCTTTGAATAAAAAAATGGAAAAAAAGATATATTTGGTACAGGTATGAATTCTCCATGATGAATGTAATCATTATGTATATCAACAGTGCACAATAAAACTAATTTGAAGGAAAAGACTTGAAAATATAATTCTGTGGTATGCTTATAAGAATTTTAAGGACATACAAATAGACAGATTACCAAGCTTCTCTAACCTGTTACTACAAACATATTCTATCTGTATAATTTGTCATGTTATGGCAAATGATCAAAACACATGTAATAAAAGTTTTAAGTATAAAAAACAGACCTCGAAGGGATGTCTATACTCAGTAGTGATAGGCTCATGCCTTCTAGAAAAGGCAAACGCTCTACCAAGACACCAAGCTCATGGTCTGCTTGAGATAGAAGGACAGACAGGGATAGCAGTGGCCCCAAGAAAAGTCTCCAGGTGATGTGTGAATGTGTCCTTCATCCAGGCTGGGGTGATGACCTGCTGTCCCCTCACACAGTGTCACTACACTGAGGACTGCAGTTAGGGACTGAGCTCAGTATCTAAGCCTGGATATCCCCGGGCACCCAGAAACTAGAGCCTGCTCTGAATACTCCACGCAGGGACATCCAGTGTTATAATTTGAAACTTTATATACTTTAATGGAAATTATTGTGGCCACTTTTTCAACATTGCCATAATCACTATTGGAATTGAAATGTAAGTGAAGTCAACCAAGGAAAGAAGTTCATCCTAAAATCCAGCAGCTCTCTAAGTGACGGCCCTGCACAAGATGTCTTGGGAGAGAAGAGACCCTGGGTTGGCAAAGCACACTGCAGCCCGCATCTGCTGCATCTCAGGCTTCTACACATTGGTGGCCTGAAACTTCAAATTCCTCAGCCTTCAACGTGGCACACAATTTTCTATTTTCCCTGCTGTTTCTAAGGAGCATGGGGTCTTCTTATCAGAGGGGAACTCAGCCTATGGACCCCAGCATGGGACTCCCTTCCTGTGTGACAGTTGCAAAGAGAACTTGGAACCCTCCAGTCACCAGGCACCACAGCCTAGCGACAGCTACCTCGAGGTCACTTGGCTGGACAGTCACGGCAAACATGCTGTGCTGCTGGCCCAGGTGTGGAGGCAGCAAGCGCAGGACCCCGCGCAAGGAAAGTACGTGGATGAGACTACGGCGATGGGTCCCTCCATCCAGAGGATTCAAGAAGCTCAGAAGGAACTGCCCAACTGGCATGGGCAGCACAGGGCTGGTGTGCCCTGACCCAGTGCCTATGGAGCCTGAGGAAAGAGGGAGCCCAGGGCAGATCTCCCTTGAACTGACTCCCCTATACATGGAGACACCGGCTACAGACCAGGAGAATTCAGGTCCAGCCACCTCTGTGAGTCCTCTACACAGCGCCTGCCTTTGGTCCTCACTGTGTGTGTGTGTGTGTGTGGCTGTGGTTTTGGCTTTGGAGGTCAGAGTACTGATCGAAGTTCCTTCGGGGCAGGAGCAGGAGCCAGGAGGCTGTGGCCCGGGTTCCCACGTCCCCACCCTGACAGGGCTGACAGGAGGAGAAAGGTGATCAGCCACAGCCCCAGAGCCATCTCCTGTCTTCCTGTGGGAGAACCTGTGACAGAGCTGTTTGTGAATCAGCAGCACAAGGTCATCTGGGGGAAAAGCAACACCAGCTGTGGTCAGGCAGAGCTTCACACTTAGAGACATCTGCTGGGCACTGACCCTCATAGCTGCATCCAGCATATCAACTCAGAGCTGGCCATGATGCCTGAGTGCTGTGTTCCTGTGACACCCACTGGGACCCACAACAACAACGGGTGCCAGCTGTGGTGTGGGGTGTGTGTGCGTGTGCGTATCAGTGTGTGTGAGTCAAGGGAACTCTCTAGTGTGGTCACAGGAGGACAAGAGAGCACCCTTGGGTACAGATAACACCTCCCTACAGGACTTGGTGAACAGTGGGCCAGGGTGCTGCTCCCAAAGGAATTGGGGTACCATGTCCCCAGCATCCACATCTGCTCTGCTCCTTTGCGCTGTTTTTCAACACAGGTGGCAGTGAGAGAAGCCCTTGAGCTTTCCATGGGTAAGGATGTTGGGCCTGGCTCCTTCATGCCCATGTCAACAGAAACCTGGGGAGCGATCTGAGTGACCCATGAATGGATCTAAGTTCCAAGGACAACCCCGTTTCCCCCTCTACCGAGGAGGTATTGGGCTCCTCCTGGACAGCTGGTCTTCATGGATGGAATTACACACACACCATCCTCAGCTCACAAGTTGTCTGAAAATGCCAGTGTTACTCAATGTCCCCTTTGCAATTTACTTTGAAAATGTGGATGCCATTCCTCTTGGTGCCCTCCTGTGCCCCTGCTGGAAAGAGCCACTATACAATTTAGAATGTGATCAGGGCTTAATCCTCAAGCCTCCCTAGAAGTCAGAGGTGGGACACCAACTCCATGTCCCCCACTGTCCCTTCACAGAGTGGAGATCAGGCAGACAGGAGCCCTGCTGAGGTCTGCAGAAAATGGGCAGAGGAGGGGGGCCCATCATATACCCTGTCTGAGGCCCTGGAGCAGGCTTCCCTGGAGAGCAGCCTCAAGATCTTAGAGGCCTGTTTCCTGGACGCCTCCAGGACCAACACTTCCTCCCAGCAGGAGGGCATGGTGGGAAGGTGAATTTTGCCTTGGTCACAATGACTCCACATTTGGGGAAGGGGCAAGCACCACTCTCAGCATGTTAGCAACTCTGAAGGTTGGGGTGCTGGAAAAATCATGAGAAATGGGGTCTCCATGGTCAGTGTCCAGCCTGGACTTGGCCCTGGGAAGACTGGCTGATTCTTACAGATGATACTTCAGCCACATTGGGAAGCTTTGCTTCTCCCACAGGGTCCTGCACTTGGGGAAAGTGGTTCTGCTCACTGTAAAGGGGACTGCAGAGTCACTCTGTGGGCTTCAGTGTGGTCCCAGGCAGGAATCCCTGGTGGATGCAAAGGGCCCAGGCCCATTCACACCTCATGGAACAGGCGGTGGGTACATAAATCCACAAATAGAGCTGAGGACACACTCCCTGCGAGCACTTTTCCAGGACTGACTGTGTCTCAATACCCAGAGCAGATGCAAGCCCCGTGCTCTGGCGATTCCATGCTATGTGGGGTAGGCACAGTCACCCTGGACAGCATAGCAGGTAGTGGCAGAGAGAACTGCACAGCACATCCCTACATGAGCTGAAGGCCAAGGAGAGGCAGTTCAAGACAGATGCCTGCTGTCCCCTGGTCCTCACATATTTATGGACCAGCAGCCCAGTGCCCTTGAGTGCAATCACACAGCAGATACTAGTCTCTTGTCTCCATGGAGCTGACAGTGGGGACAGCAGAGGGACCATGTGTCAGCTGCCCTGAAGAAGGCATAGATGGTCACACCACTGGTCAAGGGCTCCCTTTTATAGGATCTCTATCAGGCGCTCAGGGCTGCCAGAGCCAGGTCTGCCCCATGGGGGTGTGGAAAGGGTGGAGTGTACCATGCGCGCAGTGACAGGAGGTTCATGTATCTGTCACCACAGGTGCCCTGGCAGGGAGCACAGGTAGCAAGGCCAGGCCCCTCACTGTGCTGTTACCTACTTTGCCCAGGTTTATGTCTGATGTCCTTGACACTTCGCTGGAGGTGGACTTGAAGCAGGATCCCCCAGCTGAAGCTCTGGACCAAGGAAAGCACACTGAGCCCACTAAGGCAAAAGCCAAGCATGAGGAAGACGGGTATGGAGCTGTGGGCATGTGGGATGGGATGGGCCTTTGCACACTGAGACCCTCAGGACTCAGTAGCAGCTAAAGTCAGGAGGACTTCCTGGGGGAGGCTTTGTGCACAGAGCTGAATCTGACACATGATGGGAAGATTTTGCCCCAGGAAGGAACATTGACAGTTGCTGATCTTTTCTCTTCTGGCAGCTGGAGGGTCAGATCCAGCCAAAGCCAGAGGACTACTTGCAGAGCCCACAGCAGATCCAGATGCAGCTCCATGCCCAGTTGTGATAGCAGAGGAGGAAGCAGGACCAGAAAACCCCTGGGTACCAGCTGCAGGGCAGGGGCTCCTGGTGGTTCACAGCAGGGCTCAGCTCCTGAGCTCCCTCTAGGGCCAGCTCCTGCCACACCCCAGCCCTTCCCCCCAATTACAAAGGAGTTCCTCTTAGCCTATGTCTTTGCCCTGGTATTCTGGATATACATAAACAATAGGGTGATTTTCAAATAAAAGTTAAGCTTGTAGTTCAGTTTCAACAAGCAGCGTGGTGGCATGAAGTGCATTCTTTGTGTTTGTGCACTGGACACCACTGTGCAGGGCCAGAGACTTCCCCTCAGTGCTGTACCAGGGAGCAGTTCCTCCCCTTCCCCTGGTGCTAGTTCCTGCCCCACTCATGTGAGGTCCCTGTGATTTACCTTCTCCTCATTTTTCACACTACTACACAGAATCTAAGAAAGGACTTGCTTTCTTTAGGAGAAAAAAAAATCCTAAAGGGACCCTGTCCATGCTTCATTCATGTATTTACTTAATTATTTAATTATTTTTGTCAGACAGTCTATATTTGTTGCTGGAAATTAAGGAATGCAATATGAAGAATCAAAGGAGTTCGTCACAGCTCTCCACACAGGGTCTGATGCCTCTCCTCAAGGTGTCCTCCTCCCTGTCTTCATTTGAGGACGCATTTAGTTGCTGTTGGGTGGAAAGTGTCAAGACACAGCTTTACTTAATTATTTAATTATTTTTGTCAGACAGTCTATATTTGTTGCTGGAAATTAAGGAATGCAATATGAAGAATCAAAGGAGTTCGTCACAGCTCTCCACACAGGGTCTGTCTGATGCCTCTCCTCAAGGTGTCCTCCTCCTTGTCTTCATTTGAGGACGCATTTAGTTGCTGTTGGGTGGAAAGTGTCAAGACACAGCTCTTTTCTCTTTTTTTTCCATAATTTAAATTACTTTAAAGTTAGTAAAATACAACAGATCAAGACCCAACAACGCCAACTGAGATAATACAGTGAAATTGGTATAGAACTTCATAGCAGGTTACCGGGATAACTGTTATAAGTACCATACCATATCTCTTATATTCACAATAGTTGTTCTTTCAATCAGGTACAGCAAAATGAAACCAAATACAGAACATTATAGAACTTCTCAAAGGAGAATATTGAGTAGCACAATATAATGAATCTGAACACGTAAAACAGTGATAGCAATATTTGTCTTCAAAGAGATGGTGGAAGGAAATCCCCCTTATTTGCTCTCTTGCATGTGGGTATCCTCCCAAGAGATGCTAGGATCTCTGGTTCCCATTTGATAACGGGGTGTGGGAGGATGGGATGTTTGATTCTTGTAGGTTCACAGCTCCTTATCAGGGAGGTGAGCAGGTTGATTTGTTTTCAAGCACCCTTCAAGATCCAACATATTGGGATCTCGGGAGACGCTGGCTGGTTCTCTCCCTCGTTTGCCCGTTGCTTGCTCAAGCCACTAAAGAATTTTTTTTGGGGGGGTACCAGGAATCAAACTCACAATCTCGCACTTACCAGGCAACTACTTATGCTGCTGAGCCATACCCTCGGCTAAGCCACAGCTTTTCTGTCACTTCATGTGCATTGAGGACTTGACCCCAACATATTCCACCCTGTGGATGTGAGTTTCATTCCAGGGCTTCCCAGCTGGGGTTGCAGACACAGGCTCTGCACTCACCTCTCCCTCTCACTGGCCCTGATGTGCATAGACTCCACATGTTTTCCCACCTTTCAGCAGTGTGAGCTGTGCGGAGAGGACAAGCTGGTCCCAGTTGGACAGACAGCTAAGTTAGGTAGGAAACACCCTAGACAGTCAATCAGGGCAGAGGAGTCGGGCAAAAAATGAGAACTCATCAAAACCGTAGCTGGAGGTGCATGTAAAAAAGATGAAGGCTGGGGATCTAGCTCAGTGGGCAGCACCTGCCTGGAAAATGCAAGGTACTGAGTTTGATCCTCACCCCACAGATAGAAATATTAAAATCATAAGGAGTAAGGCAGGTATGCAATACTGAGAGGGCACAAAGTCTGAGGCAGCAGACCCAACACCAGTTCAAGATCAGCCTGGTCCACAAAGTGAGTTTAAAATCAGCCTGAACTGCAGAGCAAGACCCTATCTCAAAAAGATGAGAGGAAAAAAAAAAAAAAAAAAAGATGTGATCCTTGTATACTTGCTGTGTGACCTGCTTCCCATTGGGTCAATATGACCTAAGTGACTATACTTGTTATCTTATTGGCTGATCATATTTTTGTCCCACACTGCACCCACCTTGCTCTAAATCTTCATCACCTCATCAGCAGCATATTGGGTAGAGCTCCTGTCTCTCAGAAGACATTAGTATTTCACATTCCTTTCTACAATCAATTTTTCTACTTTTAACCCGCATTGGGCTTAGAAATCACTGTGTGACTTTGAGAAACATGAACTCGTTTAATTGGACATCTGGCAGGTGGAGGGGTAATTGTACTTGCCATATACCTTTTGGGTCTTCTGTCATCAGTGAGGCCTCTTCCCTCTAATCCCAGAAATACTGCCCAAAGTGTAGGAGCTGCAGGCAGCCCCGTGCCTGATCCTGTGCCCATGAACTCACACAGGAATGACCTGGAGTCACTGAAGAGAGCCTGAAGCTCATCACCTGCTCCACAGGGAGGCTGTCACAGGCTCCCTCTGGGACCACGCACACTCCCCTGCCTTGTCACATGTTGCTAGGCACACTGGGCACTACTACCTACTGTACTGGCCACAGAGAAAGGCCCTCCCAGACCCAGCTGTGCCTAAAGATGACAGTGCCAGGGGACAGGGACTGGGTTGCTTGGTACAAGTGATGCTGAAGACAAGCTGTGGTTTATAATTCCCACCCTATGCAAAAGAAAGGAACTAATTTCTATTCCACACAGTAAATATGCCAACTTCACAAGAATGTAATCATAATGTACCACAAATATGAATACAAAAGATAATACATTATAAAATAGTAAGAGGTAATGAAGTTCATATGTTAAAAAAAATTAAAAGTGCAGGCATTTAGGTCAGCAGCGTAAGTACTTGCTTGGTAAATGTGACGTCCTGAGTTGAATACCTGACACCAAAAAAAAAAAAAAAAAAAAAGAATTAAAAAAATTAAAACAGCAATGTGAGGCAGAGCTGCGCAGACCTGAGACCCTCTCCCCAGCAGCCAGGGTCCTTCAGGCAGATACAGCCTGAGGCACAAAGCTGCAGCTATCTGAGGACCAGACCACGTTGATGGGCTTTCTGAGGCCCATTTTGGGGTCACAGGAGTGATCATTTAGTACTCTGCTCCATGCATAACCCCAGTGCAGATCCACACAGCGGTTTTTGTGCACTGACTGTCCGAGGTCTTCAGAAGCTGCTCCCTATTGTGGAGACAAGCGAACTCCCTCTCCCAGTGTCTGCCATTGATTGGGTTATGGAGGAGAAAGTGAACACAGCACTCAGGCAAATCTTCTCAAGGAGGCCTCAGTCTCCCCGACTTGTCTTTGCACCTGCGCTCAGGCCACTCATGTCTGGGCCCACAGTGACAGTTGCAGAGCCCCTCGTCTCCATAACTGCTTTCTGCAAGAAAGGCGTGGTCTTTCTCCACCAGCACACCTTTCCCAAGAGGCTTTGCAGACGGTGCTGGTGTGCAGAGGTCTGGGTGGAGATGGTTTGCCAGGGCTTCCAAAAATACGTATGCAACCGAATAACACAGCTTCCCAGGAAGTGTTTGTGGGTAGGACAGGGGCGGGACAGAGAAGAATGACAGGCACCTTAGATGAAGCCTGCTATTCACGTTACCCCCAGCATCAGTGTGGCCTCGAATGGAGACCCGACTCCACACAGCCTCTCAGGACACAGCTGCCCCTTCCTGATTGCAGACACTTGTCCCTTCTTACCACACTCGCCCTCTCAGCCCCAAATCCCCCTGTAGCAGTGTGCAGGTGAGGAAGCAGGGGCAGCCTGGCCACTGGCTGGTCTTTAGCCCAAGCAAAGCAAGATAGCCTCAGGCAGTGACCCCTCACCTGAGAGACAGGAGCTGGGGCTGAGCTAATCTCATGAAGGTACTGATCACAGGTGCCCCTGGGACCTCCTCTATCCAGCTCCTGAAGGGCACAGGGTCAAGTCACAGAAGGACTGTTCATCATGTGCACACCTTATCACAGAGCCACACAGTCCCAGGCGTGAAAGAATAGCTGGGATTGGGCCTGGGAGCAGGATGCGTCCCTATTATGTTTGTGTCTGAAGTCTCTGGCGGTCATATGTGGAAGCTTTTCACAGTTCTTCCCAAGATACTGTCTTGGTCACAGAAGCATGTTCTGCTCTGATCCATCATCAGTAAGCAGTTGTTCAATACGCTGACTTTGTCCAAGCCCCTCTTGACGCTGTTCTTCTGAAAGGCAGGGAATCTCGCTATGTGGGCACTAGTCAGAGAGGAGATAGTATGCAGGCTACTTCACGTTTTGTTTTTCTTTCCCCATTATCCTTTCGGGGTGTTTATGATGACTTATTGGCTCTACATGCTGAAGACTGAAACTAGACCCATGTCTATCAACATGCACAAAACTAAAGTCAAATGATTCAAAGATCTAAATATTAAAACAAAACACTAACTCTACTGGAAGACAAAGAAAGTAGAAATCTTGGAGACATAGGGGTAGGCGGAGAATTCATGAACACAATGCAAACTGCATGGGAAACACTTCAAAGAATCAACAACTGGGATCTCATGTTATTGAAAAGTTTTTGCACTTCAAATGAAATCACCAATAGAGTGAAAGGAAAACCCACATAATGGGAAAGAATCTTAGCCAGCAACTCCTCAAACAAAGGACTTATATTCAGAGCATATAAAGAATTGAAAAACATCAAGTCCCCCAAATTCAAAGGTCCTCTCCAAAAATGGGCATCTGAGATGAACACACAGTTCTCAGATGAAGATATACAAATGGCAAATAAATACATAAAGAGATGTTCACCATCACTGGTCATTTGAGAAATGCATGATAAAACAGCATTGAGATTTCATCTCACTCCAGAAAGAATGGCTGCCATCAAGAACATCAATGGATAACAAATTTTGGAGAGGCTGCAGGGAAAAAGGAGCACTGCTCCACTGTTGGTGGGAGTGTAGACTGGTGCAACCACTGTGGAAAACAGTACGAAGATTTCTCAGAAGACTAGGATTGGAAGTTCCATTCAATCCAGCTATTCCCCTCCTGGGTATTTTCCTAGGAAAACTGAAAAGGTCATGTCAGAGTGATATACGTGTACTCATGTTCATAGCAGCACAATTTATAATAGCTAAATCTTGGAAACAACCAAAATGCCCATCAACCATAGCGTAGAAGAAAAAGAGGTGGTATTTTTATGCAGTGGAATATTTCTCAGCTATAAAAAAGGTGATCTGGAGAGCTTCATAGGTAAATGGAGACAACTTGAGACTATCCTCATTAGTGAAATAAATAAGAATCATATTTATAAATATCACATTGTGTCTCTAAAGTAGTAAGAAATGTAGGAGTAGTAAAACCCAAAATGTATAATAGCTATTGTAAAAAAGTGAGGAAAATAAAGTGCTCTAAATGGATATAACTATGTGTATGTCTAAGTGTGTAGGATTGATAACCACATTACTAAGTTTTTGTTGGATCGCTGAACACAACTGTTTGCAGTCTCACTGTTTGGAATGTCCACTTTGCATGCTTTAATTTTGTAACTTGAACAACTATTTCTAAGAGGACAATAGTGATTTCTTACTTTTTAAAAAAATTATGTATTATTTCTATCCTTTTTTCTGATTTGCTTTTTTTTATCTTTAAATAAAAATTTTTAAAAATGATGACTTCCCTCACATATACACTACACTCCCAATGCCCTTTATGACAAACCACTTTTGGGACAGAAAACTAGAATAAGAAGTCTTGATTTCAATCTGATAAAAGCTATCTATGGCAAACTCACAGCCAACAACATACTAAATGGTCAAAAATTGCAAACTTTCACTCCAAAGTTAGGAACAAGGCAAGGATGCCCTGTTGTACCACTCCTATTAAATGTAGTTCTGGATACATTAGCCAGAGCTATTATGAAAGAGAAGCAAATAAAAGAAATATGGCTAGGAAAGGAAGAAATGAAATTATCATTATTTGCTAATAAAATGATACTCTACAAAGACACCAAAAACTCTACCAGAAGACACAAAGAATGAATAGCAACGTGTAGTAGTTTAATACAAAGTCAACACTCCCAGTCCAGAAGTCCCTACACATGAATGACAAACTCACTGAGACACAAATGAGGGAAACAACGCCTTTCACAAAGGCATCAAGACAAGTGGAATTTTAAAAAAAGTGAAATACGAAAGAATCAATCTAAGAAAGGAAAAGAAAGATCCTTACAATGAAAACTATTTTGAAAAGTGAGTATCAGAAAATGAAAATATACCTCCTTCATGAATAGGCAAAACCAATATGGTGGTACCTTGGCTCATGAACTTAATTCTTCCCATGCTTGTGGTTGCAAGCTGAATTGGATGAGAACCAACTCAAATTCAGTGGTCAGGTTCAATGCTGACTTTATAGGGAAATCCGATTTGGTTATCTTCAATTTGGTTTGCAACCAGAATGGTGGGAAGAATTAACTTTGTGAACCAAGGCACCACTGTACAGTTGAAATGGCCATAATTCCAAAACTGTTATACAGATTTAAACCAATCCCAATCAAAATACCCATATCATGTCTCACAGACTTATAAAAAACAATTCTAAAATTTATATATAAGTTGGACATGGTGGCATGTATCTATAATCTGAGTACTTGGGAGGCTGAGGCAGGAGGACTGCTGTGAGTTTGAGGGCAGACTGAACTATGCAGTAAGACCCTGTCTCAAAAAAAAATTCATATCGAACCAGAAGAGGTTCAGAATAGTCAAAGCAATCCTGGGCAACAAGGGCAAACACCATCCTGTACAAAGCTACTGTAATACAACCAGCACGGTGGCCAGGAATATAGCTCAGCAGCACAGCTTACCTGCCAGGAAAGCATGAGGTCATGAGTTTGATTCCTAGTATCAAAACAAAACAAAACAAACAAACAAAACCAGCATGGTACTGTAAAGAAAAATCCAGCAATCAATGGAATACAATAGAAGATGCAGAAACAATTGCAAGCATACTTGGCTACTTATCTTTGAAAAGGGGGCCAAATACCTTCACTGGAAGAAAGATGGCCTCAAAATCGTAAGTGGTGCTGGGAAAACTGGCTTTCCACATGCCAAAGCCTGAATCTAGCCCCACATCTCTTACTATGCACTAAAGTAGAATTGAAATGATTCAAATATCTAAATATAAACAGAAACACACTTGGATATCACAACTTTTTATTACAGCCTACATTGTGTTTCTCAGATGCAGTACATACTTCTATTTTTGGTCTTTTCTCTAGTTACTTGGTTCAAGCTTACTCTGCAGAGCTAGTTTCTTTCCTACTCTTCTTTTTTTGCTTTCTTGAATAAACTTTGCCACTGCTTTTTGCTTATATCATTCAATTTTTTGTTGAAGAATCCAACTCCACAAGAAGAACCGGATAATGTTTAGTTGACAAGTATCTTTCCAGAAACAAGCTATCAGATCACATTTGTAATCTGAGCAAGGAGAGTACATTTTGGTGTAGCCAGGCAGAAGAGGCAAGCTCAGGTCCCAAGATAAGCAGATGGGAAATCTATTGGATCTATTTCACCAACATTACCATTAGGCCATATTCTCAACGAGTGAGAAAGGTTTGATCCTCAGCGTGGGCCAAGGATAAAGCTCAAAGGCAAAGTGCCTGCCTGGCAAGTAAGAGGTCGTGAATTTGATTCCTGATACCAAAAAACAAAACAAAATGAAAACGAGAGCAGCTTATCTATTACTGCAATATGGTTAGGGTCCAATAGGAACTGAAAGGTAGCAAGAGATGGATCATTTAAGGGAAATCCCAGGGCGAGCCAAGGAAAGAGTTCCTGTTTCCAGTGCAAGAGGAGTGGATATGGGACAGAAGATTGCATCCCTCCTCCGCTTGGGCCCTGTCCTAAATGTGAGGCAGCTCACGCATCTGACTCTCTACACTGGAGGTCTGCCTGTCCCCACTTCCAGAGAGGGTGAGGCCAGCCAGGATGCTCATTTCCTGCTCTGACGGTGAAGAGGCCAAGGGGAAGCTGCAATGCCCCTCCATGTGCATTCCCACCTCCTCTGAGGAGCCCTGGGTAATCTTGGACATCATGGGTATTCCTTTCTTCAACCCAGCCCGGGAGCCACAGTATCCTAAGGTAGCTGGAGAGCACGTGAACTCCGGTGGGCAAGGTCAGCAGCCCATTCCAGTTAAAGCTATCAAAGACAGAGCTCCACTTCCTCAGCATCCATAAGGAACTGCGGGGAATTGTGTCTGTCAGGGAGAAATGAGGAAGGAGATTAGAGAGTGGCAGAAACTGGCGGGGGAAGTGGGCATGACCTGCTAACTGCAAGATCCTGGACACACGTACCAGTCAGCTCCAAAGCTCTTCACGTGGATTTCTATGGCCCAGACGTGACATCACACCGCCTCTCTGGACCGGCATGCAGAAGTTCCAGCAGGTTTCCTCCAGATCTGGACAGCATAAAAAGACACATGGAGGCCATCAGGGCTTGGCTGTCGTAACTTTTTATGACAGCCCACACTATTTCCCAGATATGCACGGACTTTTATGTTTGCTCACTTCCTCTTTTTCTATTCACTCAATCCAGGCTCTCTCTGCAGATCCAGTGTATCGCCCTCCATCTTTATTTTTGCTTTTTTTTTTTTAAATTAATTTTACTGGTACATTTTAGATACACATATTAACCTCATATGGAATTTGTATCTGTACATGATATATATATTATTTTTTCCCTTTTCTCATTCCTCCCTTCAATTCCTTCTCCCCTCCTTAACTTTTCTTGATTAATTAAATTTTTTTTTTTTTTTTTTGGTACCAGAGATTGAACTCACGACCTTGAGCTTGCCAGGCAGGCACTTATGCTGCTGAGCTAAATCCCATGCCATACTGGTACATTTTAAGTATACACATATTGTATTCATTATAGTGAATTTGTACCTGTATGTGATATAACTTGATTCTTTTTATCCCAATCCCCTACCCTGCCTTCAACTACCTTCCCCTCCATATTTACAAAAGCTGCTTCCATGTTTTCTTCTCTTTTTTCCCTTTTTCTCCTCCCCTCTCTAGTTCCCCTTCCTATTTGAACATTTTCTTCCTATTTCAGTATCTATTATATATTTTGTTCCTTATTCACACTTTCAGTTAATGAGAGAAACCACACGATATTTGAAAAAAATAAAAAAATAAATACGGAAACAGTTAATCTGCCGGAAGGTAGACTAGGTAAAACTCTTGAAGACACTGGTGGAGGCAAAGACCCTACGAATAAAACTCTACTTGCACAGGAAACATTACGAAGATTCAACAGCTGGGATCTCCTCTTACTAAAAAGCTTTTGTACAACAGAAGAAACCACCAAGTCGTGTCGCTCCTCTGTTGAGAAGGCTGGTGACTGTGTCACCAGGGCTTTCGTAGGCCAGCTCACAGCTGGTGATACAGCTGTCTGAAGGAAGTGCCGTGATGCTGGCTGCACAACTGTTGGATGAATTAATGGCCAGGACCAAAACCTCAGCCCATGAGAAGCACAGCAGTGTGTGGTGGGACCGTGAGAGTGTTTGTAAATCTCACCTTTGTGGGTTTTGTCCTGTGGAATTGTTCACAAATCCTCATTCTGATCTTGGTCCATGATGATAATATACAGAAACAGTATGAAAAGAGTTCGCAGTTCATGAAACTTGGCTACAACAGATTGTCTTTGATACTTTACAGAGCTTACTTGCAGAAGTACAGCACAGAATCAGACGAGGCCATGCTCGTTTGGTATTATCTCAAAACTAGCAGTCCTCTGGGGCAGTTGGCCACAAAGGAAAAACGAAGGAAGAAATTCAGGTTCTAACAGACAAAACTGCTGTGTTCCTACAGCAGATTGAAGAAATAGGATCTGAAAGAAAGGCAGAAGCAGCCCAGGAAATGATGTAATTAGCTGACCTGCTGAAGAGAGAGAATTGCTTAGAGCCACAACTTCAACCACTGAAAGTTTTGCTGCCCAAGAAAAACAAATGGAAGTTTGTGAAGTGTACGGGGGAGCCTTTCTGGTAGCAGGCGATGTCCAGTCTCTGGTAGATGGTCATTTGATGGGAGAACAACACACAGGCTCTACTAAAATTGAAGCTACTGTAGTAGAATTAAAAGAAAATTAAGAAAAATAACTAAGAACCAGATGGGATGAGTGTCAAAAAAAAGAGAAGCCAGAAAGAGAAAAAGAATGGGAGAAAGGGAAGAAAGGGAAACAAAGGATGAAGAGAAGAGGAGAAAAGACAGAAAGCTCATGATAAAGAAGAAGGAGGAGGAGGAGAAGGAGAAGTCATTCATGAAGTAGACACTCTAGCCGAATTTCTGACCAGAAATGCAGCTGGTCTCGAGACTGCAAAAGATCATGAAGCAGGGAAAGAAGGCGGAACAGAAGTAGGGATTAGTGGAGAAGCAGAAAGCATAGCAGATCAGAAAGAAAACACAGATCTCAAAGCCAGATGGAAGGTCCATAAGCTGGGATCAAAAGTTGTGTAACACGCCTCAGATGAAGAAATACAACCAGCAAATAAACATGTGAAAAAATACTCAGCATCACTGGTCATTTGAGAAATGTAAATGAAAACAACACTGAGATTTCACTTCACCCCAGAAAGAAAAAGAATGGCTACTATCAAGAAATCAAGCAATAACAAATGCTAGAGGGCTGTGGGGAAAAAGGAGCCCTTCTCCACTGTTGATGGGAATGGGGACTGGTGCGACCACTGTGGAAATCAGTGTGAAGATACCTCAGAACTCCAAGACTAGAAGTCCCATTCAACCCCGCGATTCCCCTTCTGAGTATCTTCCCAGAAGAATTAAAAACATCATACCACAATGGTGTATGTGCACCTATGTTCATAGCAGCACAATGTGTAATAGCCAAGATCTTGGGAACAAGCTAAGTACTCAGAGACTGAGGGATGGATAAAAAAGATGTGGTATTTCTATGCAATGGAATACTACTCAGCCATAAAGAATGATAAACTGGACACTTTTATAGGTAAATGGATGCACTGCTAGACCATACTTACTAGTGAAATAAATAAGACACACATGTGTAAACACTGTATTGTTTCATTGGTATGAGAAGCTGAAAGTAACAGCATATATATATATGTGTATGTGTATGTATGTAAAAATAGATACTTATCCTACTGATTTCTCTGAGTTCACTGAAGAGAAGGATTTGTGCAGGTTTTTTTTGGACAATTGAATACAGATGTCTTGTGTTCTTGGTGAATGATTTGGGGATGACAATGCACAATGCTTGCTGCCCCTTGATTGACATGTTTTAAAATTTAATTTTAGTTTTTTTCCCTTCGTTTTCTCCCTGAAATAAAATGGATTTGGAAAAAAAAAAGAAAGTTGTGTCAGCACATGAGCAAAAGTTGAGACAGAGAACAAGACAGAAAATCCAAGGAGAAAGCAAAAAAGAGGGATCTGAGTGGGGTGAAAGGTAGCATAAAGTCTTGTAGTTGAGACAAACAGTGAAGATACAAATCCCGAACTGAAGGAAAGTGATACTAAGAATGAGTCTGGCGGACCGGTGGAGGCACTAAATCTAAAGGTGACACTCAGTCCAGTTAAAACCGACCTGCTGAGACCTCTGATCAGGCAGAGGACTCCCGCTGGAAGATTCTTGAAGAACCCTGACAAAGGTATGAAGCGAAGACTGACATTAAAATGAGGCTAGCCTGGGCTACAAAGTGAGTTCAAGTCCAGCTTGAACTATACAGTGAAACCCCTGCTTTAAAAAATACCCCCCAAAAATCTGTTACTCCTTAAAAATATGATTTGTGTTTTCTTCTAAGGCAGACTTAAAAGTGATTTTGTGTAGTGGCTTGGGCAAGTGGTGGCCGTCCTAGGGGGAGAACCAGCCAGCGACTCCCAAGATCTGCGCCATGTTGGAACTTAGGGCGTTGGGAAACCAAGCAACCAGCCCGCCTTCCTGGTAAGCAGCCGTGAGCCTATCGGTGCATGGACTGAGCATCAAACACTGTCTCCCCCCCCACCACCTTGCCACTTTAGCAAATGGGAGCCAGAGACCTGAGCATTTCTTGGGAGGTTGACCACATGCAATATAGTAAACAGGGGGGATAAAACAGGGGGATTTCCTTCTAACATCTCTTTGAAGGAAAATATTGGTATCACTGTTTTACATATTTTATAGGGACACTCACCTACACCTAACAATCCCTAGTCAGAGCCTAATCCTATGTTCACCTTGGGTTCCAGCAAAGTCTAACAAAACCAACACTTTCCCATGCAGAAGGATCATCTCTCAGAGGCTACACTCTCCCCTCTGGAGATAATGATCAACCAGAATGGCTCATCCTAGCAGATGCAGGCCTGTCTGACACCATGCTTCACTCAGTCTCTTAAGCTGAAGGCTTTTTCTGACTTTCTTAGCTTCCTCTATTGAGAAGCTGGTTTGATCTTTCTTGGCGCTGTTCCCTGCTTACCTTTCAGCTTCTTGAGCTGAAATCCCTTACCATTTCTCTTACTTTCCTATTAAAGCCTTTGCTCAAGAAATTTGCTTGTTGATTGCCTCAGTTTTAATTTCCATTATCCCTGCAGCAAGGACCCACACTAGCCAGTGACAAAGGCAGCCATGACTCTTGGTGGTTCAGAGATAGATGTGCCTCCCTGTGGGCAGTACTGGTGGGCACAGTGGGTTAACTACTGTCTTCTCAATTCATGTCCAGTCACACCCTCACAATGAGATATTTTTGAAAATAGGGCCTTTGCAGATGTCATAGTTAAGAAGAGGTAATACTATCTGAGGGTGAGCTCTAAACCCAGGGATTGGTACCTACCCTAAGAAGAGGAAATGAACTGGGAGCGTTGTGTACACCTGTGACCCTAGATCTTGGGAGGCTAAGGCAGGAGGGCTGCTAATTTGAGGCCACCTCAGACTTCATGGTGAGACCTTGTCTCAAAAACAAAACACACAAACAAAAAACAATAAAGAGGAGAGGATATACCAAGGCATGCACAGAGAACTGTGGAAGACTTAGGCAGAGACTGGACTTTCATTCCAAGCTGAGGAACACCTGAGCCCACCTGCAGTTGGAAGAGGAGCCGTAAGATCCTCCCATAGACCTATCTGAGCGAGGCTGACTGCGTCTAGATGGACTATGATTGTAGGCTTCCGGACTTCAGAATTACGAGAGGATAAATTTTTGTTGTTTTAAATCACTCAGTGTGTGGGATTTAGTTATAGCAGTCCTGGGAAGCTAATAAGGCTGGGCACCAGCTTCCACTACAACAGTTATCAAAGTAGAGCCCATGGATTTTGGGGGATCCCTAACATGTTTTCTGGGGGTCTAGGGCCTAGAACTACTTTCAAAAGAATATTAAGGCATCATTTGTCTTTTCTGACTGCCGATATTTGCACTAATGGTTCAAAAGCAACACTGGGTAAAAGTGGTAGCAT